GTAGGGCCTGCCCTGCTGCACCCTGATCATGCAAGTGACCCTCCTCTGGACCCTCTCCATGTTGTCCACATCCCTCTTGAAGTGCAGCACCCAGTTTTTTGAAAACTGTCAAATTATTTAATTATAGATATCAATTTTTCGCACAAAGGAAGTTAGTTCTCTAAATGGGTTCTTAACAGAAAGGGATAATATGGAAAAACGACATTTGAACTTTCTTTTATCAAAGGCCCTCTGTTCTGAAATTGATTTGTTCTGCCTTAGTCTTATCATTTGTCACCTCTGAAATGCAACTATGGGAAATTAGCAGTAAGTTGGATAGAATTTCAGCATAAAGAAATAACGGGGGGAAAAAACAAAGTTGGTGGAAAGTTAGTGTTGTATAGGAAAATCTCTTGCATAAAAATGACTTTTGTCTTTTTAAATTTTCATTTCAGTTGTTCCAGGTGTAGCTACCATAGTTATAATAATCTGCATTAGTATATTAGTCTTCATCATAGCCTTGGGTGTCTACAGAATTCAGACAGCTCATCAGCACAGCTCTACAGAAAATGAAGGAAACAAAGAAAATGAAATGGATTGGGATGATTCTGCTTTGACTATTACTGTCAACCCCATGGAGGTACATAAGAAAACTGAAAAGCTGTAGCACTTCCTAAAGCTAGCATTTTGGCTTGTAGCTTGTTTAGTTTTTGTGCTTTGAAGTGCTTGAAAGATAATATCTACCGTATTTAATTGATTTTAAGATGAGTCGAAGAAGTGGGGAGCAGAGGCTGTTTGAGGGAGCAGAGGCTAGGAGGAGTGGGGGGGAGGGCAAGGCTGTTGTGGAGGGGAAGAAGAGGGCAGACACCAGCAGGTGACAAGCTGCACCACCTGCCCCCTCAGTGCCTACACCTCTGTAGAGGTGGAAGGGATGAATTAAAAATGACTCTCCAGTAATTAGGTTCTATACATGGAAAATTATAATGAATTTATATATTTTACATTTATAGAATATAATTATTGGAATATCATCTTTAGTACAGGGTTGTCTTAGATTTGAGTATATACAGTATTTAGACTGATATTTTATGTGATTGCTGTTCAGTGTGGATATTGCCTCTTTGTGCAGGTGAAGCACCTAGTACACTGGAATCCCATTGCCAGTTGGGATCCCTAAGCACCACTGTAACACCAATAGCGAGTATGATTATTAGGCTCCTGTTTATCATCGTAATGATCAGTACTAGAAAGGATGGTAAAGGGGATTATCTACCAGGTGGTGAAGAATTGCGTAATGAAAGATTAGGAGCACTGCCCTGTCTATTACTGTATATTGTAGACATTTAAAATGTACAGCAACAGCACATAGCCAATCTGTCCATTTTAAAAGTATGATAATAATAACCAATTGAGAAATTAATTACATTGTGATAAAAATGATCAGTGGACTGAAAAAAACTGACTATTAAGGAAAGATTAAAGCAGCTAAATGTAGGTAGCTCAGTTAAATTATAACAATTATTTACTAATATCTCATTTGTGTTACAGCAACTTAAACCTTTAGAATGTATTGTCCACTTAATTGTCTCTATTTGCTGCCTAATAAACATGGAATAGTGGAAATTGTTTTACCATAGTAATTTGCATGGGTGTTACAGTGAGAGAGAGTAAAAAAGGCCTTTCACAGCATATGATGAAGTGAACCTTAGCTCATGAAAGCTTTTGTGTGTGTGTTTAAGTAACTACAACAGGTAGAGTTGCTCCTTATAGACTAACCAAAGTCTGTGTGTGCATGTGTGTGTACACACACACACTTTAGTTAGTCTATAAGGTGCAAATCTACTCTGCCTGTTACAGTAGGTGTCAATCTAGTGGCTCAATAGCTTCATATTCCCTTAAATTACTGAGCAGGCATCTTTCCTTCCTTTTTTTGTTTTGCTAATACAATAACAATATAGAAATATGAACAGCCTCACCCAGCAGAAGAGGAGACTGAGGAAGAGGAGGAAGAGGTAGAAGATGAAGAGGAAGATACAACCAGTGCTGAATCAGATGAAAGTGATGAGGAGGAAGAGGTGGAGGACGAAGAAGAAGAAGAAATTGGAAATAAGGGAAACAAACAGAATGCCACCAGGCAAGAGCAGTTGGAGTGGGATGATTCAACACTCCCTTACTAGAGGCCTCCAATCCCGTTGCTCCTTTTGTAAACACCAATACAATGTATTCCTGAGTAAAGTTAGTGTGAGTCTATGAATTAACTGACAGGATTTGAACTACTTATTACCAGAAATTGGCATACTTGTTTTCCCTATCTGATATGGATTTATCATCAATTGATATTGATCGAATTGCTTTATTCCCTCATTTGTGGGTGATTGGTGAAACATACAGTACAAACTTAAATCTTGTCAACTATAACAACTAAACTGAAGCTTGATCCATTAGTGTACTTTCTAAATTTTCTGTTTCAAATGGGAATACAACAGAAGTCCTGTCACTCAATGCATAGAGGTTTTGCCTTTGCTATTTTTTTCGTATAGAAGAGATTTCAGCTTGTTATGGAGAATTACATCTTAATTCTCAATTAGCACTATTGTCCCTTGGCTTCACTGTATTGTATTTCTAAGGAAAAATAATCCACCTCCAGATAAGGGCAGAGGTTTAGGTGACAGGCTGAATTCCATTTGCTATCTTTCTTTTTTGGCCTTCTTGGATATTAATTGTCTATATCTGTATAGTAATGAATAATACCTTTCTCTGTAATGCTGCCAACACTTGAAGATAGAATCTTTATCCAGTTTTCTTATGGAAATTCGACTAATATATAAAAACCCTATAAAATGATTCTTCTCTCCCCCTTTGGCAACTTTCAAAGGCCCTCTATCCAAAGGTTAAATCATTTTAACTTGTGTGAAATGTAAATTCTAGTGGAATTTGATCTCATAGAGCTGATTAGTTGCCACAGATTCAGTACTTTGCAGCAAGTCAATGTTTTGTAATCTGCACTAAAACATTATCTTTCTTTTACATTATCTCCGTATCTTGCTGCAATAACAGAAAATCTCTAAGCCTCTTTATATTGCATGTGTGTTTTGTTGAGACTTGGACAAGTGCATGAAACTGAAATTCAGGCCCTGGACAGACTAGCATGTACCTGAAATAATTTACATCAGTTCTGTACACTGATATAAATTATGTCAGGATTAGGAATGGACAGATAACCAGCTGTCCTTGGATAGTTCACTATAGTAGTAGGCTATTATAATGTCTTACCACTACTTGGCAGGAGAGCAAATAATAACCTATTCATGTTAGCAAGGGATGTGATCAGACATGTATACCAGTGTAATTTACCAGTAGTTTTATCCCTGATTATTTCAAGGATATTTCTCCTTTGGAAGGTAACCCCAATTTAGGGGGATGTAGGAGGACTGTGTTATCCTTCAGTTCCTTTTTACACTGGGATAATGGCAGTAATGTTAGTGTAAACATATCCCCTGTCAAGAGGGGATTTTTTTTTTCTATCTAAATAATGCCAGATTAAGCTGATAGTAGTTATTAGGGGTGTGCGAAGTGGACCCTATTTGATTTAGATTCAGATCCGGTCCAAATCAGGGACAATGATACGATTAGTTGATTTGGATCACTGTCCCTGATTTGATTTGCCAAATCTGAATCTGAAGATTTAATGCTGATTCAGAGAATCATTGATTTGGACATAGACACAGCTTTAAATGTTTTTTCTGTATACCTCGAGTTACCAGCGTGGCTTGTGAATGCTGCAATGCTGGGGCTCATGGGGCATTGTATAGGAGTGCGGGGAGGCCCTCCACATGCTTGGTGGCGAACCCAGAAGTGGAGCAGAAGTGCCCCAGCATCGCAGCATTCATAAGCCCCTGCTACTCTGAGGTATGTAGGAAAAACATTTAAAGCTGTGTCTATGTCTAAATCTCTGAATCTTTCCGAATCTCTCCAATTCGATTCGGAGAGATTAAAGGGTCCACTGATTCAGTTTGGATTCAGAGATTTGGCCGCCAAATCTGTGCTGAATGAAATCAGGGACCAAAGCTTTGCCCAGCCCTAGTAGTTATGACTAGCCAAATGGTGGCATGGGGCAAACTGATATAATAGAAAACTTTCAGCTTTTTTTTGTCCATTTCACTCCTATTTTCTTCTTCCTGAAGCCTTTACTTTTAACAAAGGGATTTTATAAAATAGAAACAAAACAAGTAAAAATAAAACCCATATGGAACCAAAAGAAGTGAAAGAACAATAAGAGCCTAAGAAGGTGATTTAATTTATTATTAGAGTATAGAGTATCTTGTTCTAAACACTCTTTAGAAAAAAGTACGTAAGATGTATTGGTGAGTCTTATGGTTTGCATCTTGCCCAGATCCCTAAAATCCTTTGCATTAGAATACATGAATGCCAAATGATGCAGCACTTGCTAGAGTAACTGTTCTACTGGACATCAGACAAAACAACTGACATGAGAATTGTTGCTGCCTTGTGGTGTTCCACCCTTGTTTCCAACCTTTATATATATATCTAAAACATAATATTAATATCTAAAACATGATATTATATTATATATATATAATTTTCTTCAGATTTTGATTGTTGTGTTTTGAGTTTGGTTTTGTAACTTGCTGTTTAGAGTGATCCCTTTCCTTTGTGCTCCAGAAAAAGTTTGGTAGTGAGTAGTCTGTATTACACAGGCCACATCTACACAAGATGCTGGCTGCATAGTAGCTCATTCAGGGATGCTACTGGATGGTAAGTCTGGTTACCACGCAGTCATTTAGTGTGCAAATATTAAATGACTGTGCAGTAATAACTGTGCAGTCAGCATCTCATGTAGATGTGGCCACAACATAATAATGAGTGTAACAAATGACAAGAACATGTATGCAAATCTGTCTGCTGGGATGCCCCTGCCTCCATGTGTAGCTGAGCCTGCAAAAGAGTAACCCTTTTCTCTCAGGGCTTATCTGAGCAACTTTTAGTGTTCTCAACCCCCATATTTTGTTAGTTTCTCAAAGCCCAGCTCCCATGGTTTTCAATAATGAGAATCTAAGCTAGTCAACTTTCTGCCACATGGTTTTAGAAGAAGTTGCTAGTGTCGTTCAATTGATTGATAAACATTAACGACTTAGGAAGTAAATTAAAATTCTATCAATTTGTTTTTCAGTGGTGAACCACCCCATTTAATCTCTCACCTCCACACATAGGAGGAGGAGGAGGAGGAGGAGGAGCTCTACCTTAGGAGTTTTACTTGTGTGGTGACCCATTTATTTTAGTAAAACTTCTCATATGAGTAGTTAAATACATGTCTGCAGAATAAAGACTGCGGTGGTAAAAGTTACTTGAGGGCTTAAATATTGCAAGATCATGCCTGGGTTGTCTTTTCTTAGACTTGTAACTAAATCAAAAGCCTACTTTGGACCACACACTGTTTGTAATTATAGACTCTGTATCACAACTAGTTATTAAGAGATATATTTTGCACATTTTCCTCCAGTGTAAGATGAAAGAAAATCTAGTGAAAAAGCATAATCCTTTTTTCTCCCATTAGTAGTATAAAGTAGGCCCTTAATTTGTGGTTATTTTCAGCACATATCAAAGCAAGTCTTTCTCTGCAGACAGAAAATAAAAATCAGAGATTTAAAAACCCATTAAAAAATAAAACTGGATTGAACATTTAAATCTTAATCCCTTTTCACATATATGTCTCTCTCTACCAGGAAATGTTCCCTTTTTCTTTTTTGTTCTTGTGTGTGTTCTTGTAGTGTTTGAAAACAGCAACTTACTCTTATTAATAGTATTTTAGTATTATAGTATTATTTTTAACTTATTCACAGCTTGATAGGTGTATTTGAACACAGTGATTAAATATTTATATTTTTGTTACTGGAAGCAAATCTGTTTAGGTTGTGCTGGTACATTACAAAAGGAGCAAATATAAGTAATTTTTTATTCTATACTGTAAATATGTCTAATTTAAGGAATATTTCCTCCTTCATTATCTGTTTTTGTCATCATTATGATTATTTTAAGGTTGTTCATCTCAATAGGTTATGCAGTGTTTTCCATCCATTTGATCAAAAGCGTTGTTTTTTATGAAATGTCAGTGAGGATTGGCTGTTTCTGTACAGAAACAAAAAGGCTTATGGTATTCTTTAGTAATGGCAACAATCTAGAATTGGTTAAAAATACCAGAGGTTTTTTCAGGAATTTTCTTAAATTCCCCATGAAAATATTTAGTTTTTCAATGAAAAACCAAACACTGAAAAAAAGTTTTCAAAATCAGTTTCAATAAAAAGATGAGTTTTCTAAAATCAAAGTCAGATTATTTTTTTATAAAAACAGATGTTTACCAAAATTAGATCACTTTTACAACTCATTTTTGAGCTTTCATTTTGCAATTTTTTGTTTCTTTAAAATGGAAAAATATATTTTTGTCCAATTTTTTGTGTTCATGAAAAAATGTTTATCTGACAAGATTGTAACCAGCTGTAGAACAGACTGCAAGTCTATTGGCTGCTTACTGAAAATGCTATATAATCATTTTTAATAAGGGCTCTCTAGGTTTCTCTTCCTTAAAATTCTAAGTATGCTTCTGCAGATCAAGTTTATCCTTTGGTCATGTGGCTGGTGTTAATATTGTTTGTTATATGAGATAATAAAATGTGCAAGGGCTTTTCAACCACTCCATCTCTAATTAGGAGACATTATAAGTGTAGACTTTGTACTCAGGAAGCTGTATCATGCCAGTCACTCTACTCTGTACCTGTTAGTGGAGTTCACTACCAGATGAGGAACAGTGCACATTGCAGCCTTGTAAAAGGGCAGTACAGTTATCTGTACTCTTCTGAGCAATTTGGCTTTATGAGGCATAATGCTTCCTTTTATTCCTGAGTCAGGGCTGGGCCAGCCAGGCAGAAAAACGTCCTTATTTTGGAGTAGCAAGTTTCAAAATGGACCCAGTTTTGTAATCCATCCTCACCTACCTCGTCCACTGCTACTGTTAAATAAAATGAGGAATCTGCCTTCTTAAGGACTTCAGGATTGGGCCTATTAATGATACAAAAATAACAAAAGAGAGACCTCCTTTTGACACGTAGATTCTGCAGTTTCTGAGACATTACAATACATTAAGATAAATAAAATAGATTTTATACATTTTAAATCTTGAAAATCAGAGGCGGGCACAAGGCTGGAAAAAGCTGCAAAACCTAGAATTGCAAATTCAGTCCAGTGGTGCAATGTGTTATCTGAACTAATATCAATGTTTAATTTGCTTTTTGTGATCATGAGCTCAGATTTCTTTTTCACTTCCACCCCTATCACAGGTATTATATCTCTACAAGTGATTCTAAAGGCACGAGGCTGTTGAAATCAATATCAAGATATACTGCACCGACTGACACCAGTTCAAGTTAGAAATAGACTGCTAGGGTTTGTTAAATCTTACTATTCTCTAAAATGGGATGGTGATATTGTTTTGGAATAATCATTAATTCAAACAGATAATGGTATCTGGGTGATATACAATATACTACAGAAATTAAGAACATGTAAGAAACATTTGATTGTTTGGAGATAGAAGAAATATAGCTTGTTCAGGTCTTTGTAATCACTAGGAACACCATCCTTTCTCTGACAGTGCATAAATGCTGATTAGATTAAGTAAATCTCTGCCAGTTGTTATATGTTTATTGAAAATGACAATATAAAACTTGTAGCATAATTTAATTTTCATGTAACCTATTTCCAGTAATGTAGCTTGAGGGAAAGGAATCAAGTGCTGAAAATCTTGATGTCTAACACATGATTAATATCCTAATTTCTTTCACTATATTTGCTTCACATTTATGGAGTATGTTTTTCCTGTAATGTTTTGTACACTATTTCTCCATTCCCTCTCCAGAACAAGGCAGTCAGGTGGTAGCGATAGCTAGGGAGCTGTTCTACAGGAAAGACAGGTGTCTTAATATTTAGACTAATACTTTAAATGCAGCTGGACATTCATCCCCTATCTGATAAGTGACATTTTGGTGTTTGCTAACACATTAGTTTTGTGGGTGAAGTTATGTGGTAATTGGATCTTTGCAACTGTCAGCCCAATGAGTAAACACAGTGATTCAAGTAAGATTTAGTGATTTTATATACAAAAAATTCTCTTTCTGTTACTCCTGGTGGTTCATGCACATGCACTTGGAAACACACATCAAGCTGGTTCATTTGTTTAGTTCTGTATCCTAAGGAGATTCAGGCTGATGACAAACATAAGATTGATGCACCCTTGGTTGTAAATTCCCAACCATCTGTGTGAAGGAGGTTGCTTACTCTCTGTCAACTGCAGGGCAAATTAGGAGAGGAGCAAGAAATAATTGATGTTGTAAGAGTGGGAGCCTTTAAAAATACTACAAAATGTATTGTATTTCTTTGTGAATTTTAAATGTCTATCCCATTACCTATCCCATTACAGCTCTGTGTTATTTTAATGTAACATACCTAATGTTTTTACCAATATCAACAATCTCACTTTTCCCAAAACTATGTAACAGCCTAGCATTCATGCCTTTCTCAGCTAAGGCATAGGGCAGGTAAAATAACTTACACTAAGCCCTTAATGACCACAGATTCTGGCTTTGCTGGTCTCACTGAGTATGAATTGTAGGGGAAGCAGTCTTTCACAGAGAACCAGCTCCCTTCTAGCCCTCAGCTTGACAGCAGAATTGCCCCCACCAACCTTGGCTGTACTGCCTATGTCCAAATGACATTGAGCTTTGCTAGCCAGTATCCCCATTTTGAATCTGCATTGAAAAAACAAATAGGAAGCCAATGGGGTCTGTGAAAATTATTTCTACATGGTCTTAGAGGGTAACAGTGTAATACCAGCCAGGGATTCCCTTATAAGGCAGAGTAGTGTTGGGACCATTGTTCTAGATTATTCTAATATTTTTAATAAAGGAAATAGAAGCCCATTATAAAGGCATTAGTTGAGAGTACTTTGACTGATTTAGCCTTCCTTTTTAGATGATATTAGCTGGAAAAATGGCCCTCTTTTCTCTGGGAAAACAAGGCAAAAAAGACTATCCTCCAGTGTCTGAGAGTTAATCACCAGACTTAAAGCAAACTAGAATAAATATTGGGTAAGCCATGTCAAATCTAAGAAATATCTTTGCTAAAAAAAGACTGCATTGTTTTAAAACATCCTTGTTCATTTCACAAAAGCTTGAGTATCATTAAGGGCAAAAAGTATCACAAGAAATACTAACAGAAAAGACACTATATTTGAAGGTCCAGTGATGTAAAGGGGATTCTACAAATTTGTCAGCATTCCCCGGGGTTCTGTGAATTCATAATGTCACTCATGGTGACTAAAAGTATGGTTTGTCCTTGGATCTGATCCAATATCTCCTGAAAAAAAATTCTTGATTTCAATAGCTGTTGCAATAGTCCCAGTGACAGCTTAGTTATTACCTTTGTTTCTTCATCTGACAAACAGGGACAAGAATAGTGACGTCCACCTTAGGGGACACTGTTGATGTAGATAATGAATGAAGTCTTTGCCCCAAAGTGTGTACAATCAAGACACAGGACTATTGTTTTATTAACTGTTGGTTATGGGGAAATACTCATAACTGTTTTGAAAAAAATGTTCTCTGAGGAGTAACCAAAACCCTGACAGATTCAGCATAGCCAGACTTCAGTAGTTAGTGTACATGCAGAAAAGAATTAAGAAAAAAATGTCAACACCCTAACTTCCGTTTGCCAGCAATAGAGATAAGGAGTCCATTTACCACATAGTGCTGGAATGTGTGTGCTAGTCAAAAGGGAAGGGAACAGAAGAGCAATTTTGCAATTCAGTATGTTCTGTGATTAAAGAAAGACAATAGGTTTTGCTAGGCAAGATGCACATAAATTCTGCCAAAGACAAGGAAAAACATTTTAAAGAATCAAGCCCTTAGGCTCCTCTCTTGTCCATTTTAATCGGATTTTCTGCAAATGATATTTAACAAGATGAAATGCACTTCAAAAATACTAATGAATAGAAAAAGAACCTTGACAATGCTAAAAGCTCATATTGATCCTGTAAGAAAAAATGAGAGCATCATGTAAAAGGATTTTTTGTTGCTGCCTTAAAAGGTTGAGATGAGGGGTTTTTTTGTTTTTCTTTCTCTTTTTTTGTGGCAAGTAATGATCACTCTGTGTCCCTTCATATTTAGCCACTTATGAAGCCACAGTCCTGAGTAAAGTGTGCTATTCCCAGGGGATCCAAGGCATGATTTTCTTCAGTCATTTCTAGCTTGCTTACTTACTTCAGTCATTTCTAGCAATGCAAAATGTATGTAAACTAGTATAGTTATGCTTTGATAGCATCCAGTCTTCTCTCACTTTGAATTGGTATAAATGGCCCTCCAAGAGAATGGAAGCTGCCAATTCCTCCTGGGAAAATGAAATATACCTAGCTTGTTTTTCCCTATGCATCCATTATCTCCTTTAGACAGGACAGCCAATCAACCTCTGGCTGTAGTTATTCCTTGCTCCAATCTCTAGTATAGTATAGGATACTCAAGACCATATAACATTACAGCCTACATAGGACACCAACTCAAGACTTTGCTACTCTAATAGGATGAAGGATCCTTGTGTTGCCCTCTCTGTTTCTTAACAGAGGCCTCATAAAAAATCCTGATAGCGGGTAGGATTTTCAAAGAAACTTAACTTTTTCAGAGTTGGATACCTCCCTCCTTTATGTCTCTTTGAAAATCTAGCCTTTAGTAGAAATTTTGTTGAGTTTTTCATGATTTAATTCTATTTTAATCTTGTTGACATAATTCTGGTCTCAGTTCCCTCAAGCTATTAACAATCAGCTCAGTTGAACAAAGGTTATTAAGATCACTGTGATTATGTTTATCAATAGAGTGAAGTCTCCAATTTGCAGCAAAAATGGTTACATTATTTGCACTAGGGTGCAAAGACTCTGCAGTACTGGGAAAGATTAACATTGATATTTTGGCTATGCAACCTTTGCTGGAA